TAAAGCTGATTTTGTTATTTTCATTAAATGTGATCCTGTTGGCAATTATGATAAAATTTAAATAGTTTAATGTGTTTCTCATGTAATTATATTTTATTTCCTGGACCAAACTCAGTACTGTAATATACCTCTTGACCAGTAGAGGGAAGACATGGTCTAATCCTGCATTTCTCAGTCTTGATTACTTCCAGATATGTAGACTTGGTCCCAGAATTTCCAAAGCAGCATGGCAATTCTGGAGAATTCTGGAACTTGCAAACATTGGGAAACTTTGTACTATTCAAGAAATAAAGGATTTGGATCAGTACCATTTAGGCCATTGGATCCAACTGTCTGATCAATACAGGAATCCAAATTACCTGATAGAAATTCTTTTGCCCAGATAATTTCTTTTGCCTACTCCTTGCCTTGCCCTTTTTTTTAATGACTTAAAAATAAATAAATAAATAAATAAATAAAAACCTACATTTTTCTACTGGTGGTGTCTTAAGACACAGAAGTGAAAATCAATGCATGGGATCTGCAGTTGTTGTCTGCAGTGCTTGTGCCATGTTTTATTCCTGCCTCAAAGTTACCTGGCATATGTCTGCAGAAAGTGCAATCCTGTAGCAGTGCACATTTCAGCTCATAAGAGAGAATGAACATTTATCAGCTCCAAGAAAGGAGATCCTACAGCAGAAGCTGACAGAGGAAGCAACTCTCCATAAGGAAGGGAATCAAGCAAAGGATTAAGCTCAGTAAACACTCTCCACCAGTCTCCTTTGCCAAACACCCATTAGTGATACAGGTTATGTGTAATTGTAACTACCATATTAGCCATGAAGAATGAAAAAACAAAGCAGCTATGGGAAAATGGCTTCATGGAGCGATAGTTTTATTTGAATGAAAGTTCAAGCATATATATTTCAGATGAAATACACCAGACTAGGGAAATAATCTACATGTGAAACATTATTTATATACTATAGAAATACTAGCATTCACTTTTATTTCTCATTACTTCTTTTGCTACCCCCATTTCCCTGCCTGACTGGAATTGTCTGCAATTGTATTCTTAGTATCTCCTTATTTAGGAACTGCTATATTTTTCTGCTCTTTCTCCTGTCATGGAATCCTAATTATTGTTGCTCCGAGCTTATTAAAAATCCACTTTCTTGAATTCCAGTGTTCTCATTTATTCATGCTCAACTTTAGTTTCTGCTCAGAATGCCAGCATGATGTGATCACTTTTCCTCAATGTTCATGCCACCCCTGCTTCCTAGACTAAGTCTTCTCTAGTGGTTAGTTTCAAATCAGGAATAGCTGACCCTCTTGTGCCTCTGAAGGAGAAAATCAGCAAGGGAGTCAGGTCTGGAACTTCTTAAAAGGACCCCCTTGGCAGTATCTTCCAACAGACACTGGGCGAATTAAACTCCCCCATCTTTATTATTTCATTCCTGTTTGAAATACTTGCAATTTGCTTTTGAAAACATTTTTATAAAATTATAAAGTTATAAAGAAATTATAAAACATTAATGAAACACATTTTATCTTTGGTTGGGCATGTGCTAGTAGGCAACAACAATACTGCTTTTGTTCATTTCTCTACTTATTTTAACCAAAATGCTCTCTACAATATCACCTATTTAATTCACTTCTATTTCTAAACAGGTATTTTAACATTTAATGCAACTAGTTCTCCCATACCCTCATTTGGTTTCTTTCAAACAAATTGTATCATTTTACTGCTATATATCAATGATGGGATCATCCCAGTATTTCTTCATTACATACATACATACATACATACATACATACATACATACATACACATCACACTTTTCCCTTTTGGGATAAGCTGCATTATGCAGAGCAGAGAAAAAGAACAGTAAAAAGACACTGTGAGATGAGAAAAAAGAAAAGCTATAGCTAAAACTAATCATCATCATCATCATCATCATCATCATCATCATCCACTATACCTCGTTATACATTTCTATCCTTGAAAACCACCCTTGTTTCTAGCAGTAACCAAACACTGATTAATACATTGCTTTTGTTTTTTCAACTTCTTATCATCTTTTTGAGGATTTCTTCAATCCTTCAAATCTTGTCTTTCTTTCTTTTTGCCCTTCCTCTCAATCCATTCACTGTTCATTCATATATTTGTTTTGCAATTTGATTCTCATTCATTTTTTTTTATATGACCAAACCACTTCAACATATTTTTTTTGTACTGAATTCACATTCATTCATTATCCATTCATTCTGGACCTTATTTCTTCTTCTTCTCCTACATATAAAATAGCCCATTTCCACTGCATTAAAAAATTGTATGTACCTCCTGACCTCTCCCTAATAGAGCCATTTTCACTTCTTTCAACAAATGTTCATTCCTTGTACCAGATCACATATTACCACCAGTGTTTGCATTTCTTAAAATTTCTCCATCCTTTTTTCTATCTTCAGTAAACATTCTGTCACGATGCACACATGAATCTACTTGTTCTAATTCATCTTCATGTATTTATCCCATGAAATTGTTCATTCCATTTTCCCTGTCAAACAAAATAACTTTATTCTCATCAGTTTAAAGATTTGTATTCTTTGTTGCATCATATAAGCTATCTAACATTCACTGCAACTTATTTGGGTTCTCAGTCAACACAATGACATCACCTGTCCAGAGAATGCACATTTACATTCTGAAAGAGTACGCTTGTAGTATCATAAGGCATTCCTTACATATGAATTCATACAGTCATCAAACAAAAAAGATATCCTTTTTTGATATCACATATCCTTGTCTTACTCCCTGATCAATACTGAACTATCCAATAAGCATTCCATTTATTCTCATGCAAGTTTTACTTCCATCATATACTACTTTTATCACATTCAACAACCAACCTTTGACACCATGTTGGTGTCACCAACCACCGTTGCTATTCAAGCCTATTCACTTTATTATATACTTTCTTTAAAGTAACACATGTACAATACACTTTCTTTCATATATTTTTCAATGCTGAAGAGCAAAAATCTGGTCTGCACATTCCCTACCTAACAAAGCCACACTACACTTCCAAGATTTTGCTCTTTGACGGTTTAAAAATCAAATAAATAAACAAACTCCACAATCAAAGCCCCAGATGTCCAAGGTGCCCCCTCAATTACTCTGTAAGCCTATTTTTAATGACAGCTCCAGGCAAAGTTACCAAGGAAATGAGACACTATCTTCTTTTCAGGCCAAAGGAAGCTTGATTCAACCTTGTTTCTGCCATTCTCAAAAGCATTGCAATTTAACTGGACTAAACCAGCTAGGTAACACCCCTGATCCAAAGGGAAAAAAATTGCAGAATGTGTATAGATTTGAAACACTTGGGGAACCAAGGTTCATGAAGTATGCATTGGGTTTCAGATGTTGTCCCCATTCTACTGAAGCAGGGAGTGGATTGAAAAGGACATGATAAAACTAAACAGAAACATCAATGCTAATGTCATTAAATTATCATACTTTCTGGACAACTTAGATACAAGGACTAACCCTCCTTCAGTTTAATCATGGTCTAAACCTCATGTATATTAAAAATTAATATATATGAGGATATAAAAGTTAAATATTGCATTATTCTAATATTTATAAAAGAGGTTAGTAAGTTATAATTAGCAAAGACTAACCCTAAACATATGCATATTTCAACCAAATAAACTACATGAAGCTTCCTGGAATAATTAACAATCAGTTAAAGACCCAGGATTTAATTTGTGCACATGCAGAAAAAAGTGATTAAAGCCTGTTGAGCAGGCTTCCAAAATAGCATGACAATCATTATTTTTGACATGAACACCCAACCAGTCCACATAGCAGCAACCTACACATTTCACCTGCCAAGGAAGGCCATTTTAGGTCCCCTGGGAAACTCAGTTAAATATACAGGACAGCTACCTCTTGTACATTAATATGAATATCCAAATCATTTGATTTCCCAAATGTCAAATACTAGAGAGAAGGCTGAGTAACAAACTGAATATAAAAAAGAAACTTGGGTTCAGTGCTTAAAAGGTACCTGGCCACAACACTATATGATCTAGTATTTAAATCAACAAATCGTGGAGCAAAATATTATTTATATAAACTATACTTTTCTAAATTTCTTGTACCACTCAAAAAAAGTAATACAAAAAAAAAAAGGCATTGTTTTGAAAGTTAGTATTTCAATGATAGTTATGAAAACAGATTGGGAATAATTCCTGAAGAAACCATACCTTGTCCGCTATTTTGGAAATTAAATTATTTTCTCCAATTCCTGTGAAAAGTGCGTTAGATTTCTCTCCACTAAGAATATTGCCTGCAACCTGAACATTAGGTGTCAGGAAAGTAAATTCATTCTTCCTGGATTCTGAGGAGAGGCAAAGCTGATAGGAATAAGGCAGAGTCCCAGCTTCAAAATTGGGTGGAAATATTGCACCTGTTGTGGAATGAGGAACAGGGCCAAAACACTGTAGGAATCTGGGACTCCCTGAGTGTCGGAGCTTCACCGCAATTGCCAGAATCACTGACAAGAGAAATAAAAATGACATCAAAGCTAAGGCCAAAACCAAATAGAACTGTAGATCAGGATGATAGTTTGAACTGCTCAATTGGGATTTCACCTCTGGAAGGGCCTCCTGGAAGTTCTCAGCAAACACCAGGTTCAGAGTGATGGTGGCTGAGAGCGGTGGCCGCCCATTATCCTTCACCAGAACGATGAGTCTCTGCTTCACAGCATCCCTCTCCAGAAAAGCTCTTGCTGTCC